TGTGGTCATACAGCTCTGTGATGGCTCGCTGCCGCAGGTGAGTGCTGTGGTGAGCTTCATACATGTTCATGATGGCTACAGAAAAAGAAAGGGACATGCAATGAAAAAACCCCACCCTGCTGAGCCAGATTCACTTGCTCTGGCAGGCTGCACCCCAACTCACACAACAACCCATTAAGCATCAGGACAAAGCAAAGCTCTGCCCCAGAGTGGCCTGAGGACATGGGCACAAGGCCCTGCTGCTCTCAGAAAGGGAGAACCACATGGATCACATAATTCCTGTCTCCATCCCAGCAGCAGGGCATACCCCAGTAGCTAGCAGTAGACCCTAAAGAGCTCTGAGCATACAAGGCAGCTTCAGTATTTCTCACAGCAGCTCTGCACTCACCATAGGCAGCACCCAGCAGCCAGCTATGTGGGGTGTACACATCACAGGCAGCCACGTTGTTCCTCTGTGCTGGCCAGTCTATGCTGGCATAGTCTTGCACATACAGCTCCTGGCAAGAGACAGCAAAGGGCAGCCTGGCCATCCAAACACCTGGGCCAGTTACTGTCAGGAACTGGCTCACAGGGGCATGGCCAGTACAGCAGGTGGCCATGGAACCGTGTATCCTTGTCCAGCAGGATCAGCTCCTTCCTTACCTGCCGCAAGCTCCGTATAAGCTCGTCCTCTTCTGCTGACAAACGCTTAGCATAGCAGTAGCTCATGGGAAGGTAAACCTGGCGGCAGTGACACCAGAGCCGTGATGGATGGGCTGGAAACCACGTGGGAAACAGCCTGATTGCAACAGAGAAAGTGCTGCTGTGTGGAACAGTGAAGGCCAAGGGCCACTGGAGAGATGTTGTGCAGAATGACCAGAGCAGGGCAGGTCCCCTGCACTAGGGGATATACACACAGCCTGGCCCTGCTCAGATTCCCCTTCCAACAGGGATACTCCCTCCTGACACCACTCCAGGCCCAGCTGACACAGGGCAGGGAGGACCTTGAGCTCAAAAAGGAAGGAGAGAAGCCAGTTCAGTCACATAGGACAACTGAAAGCAGAGGCCTGGACTGTCAGTTAATGGCATTTGCTGACATAACATCAGCCGCCCTTGGTATTGTGTAGCCCCCAATTTCCTCCAGGGATAGTGTCAGACATTTTCCCTCTCTGACACCCAGCAGCCCTCTGAGTATTCAGAGAGGGCAGAAGCAAGGGTTTAGGGCTAGCAGTCTTACATGTGACTGTCCCTTCCTGCTAGGGTCCAGTTCTGGCTGCTGGAAGATACTGATGGCAGGCAGGGAGCACATGAATGTATTGGGGACCTTGTGGGAAATGTTAACAGGGCTGCACTCTGGCATCTCCCTTGGATGCAGTTTTCAGTGCTATCTACCTACTGGCTGGCCTGCTGCTGGCTCCCAGCTGACAAGCAGCCTGAGCACCTCCAATTCCTGGCTATAGCTGGAGTTATCCCAGCAATCACCAGCGCCTGGGACAGTTCTGGGTCAAGGCTGGTGGCAAGACTGACACTAGCTCCTGTCTCCACAGTGAGGGGGGCACATACCACATCTCTGGGAGAAGCGTGTTCATTCCCTCCCAGCTGTAAACGTTCAAGACAGCCAGCCAAAACTTGCCCCAGGAAGGGATTCCCACAGCACCTCCTGCACAGAACAGTATCAGCTTTCAGGGTTAACACAGCCATGCCAGCTCCCAACTTTCTTCCCCATCTCAGGGCCCACTTCTCCCCAAGTTTGGGAGAACACTACTCAGGCTGAGATGCATGTCCCAAAACAGGGCAAGCAGGCAATGGTACAAAAATGCAATACAGCTTCCCATCATTAATTGAAAATGCAGTTGCCATGAAAGGTAATTAAGAACAACAGTTCTTCCACTACCTGGCAGCCCCCAGTGTTCCCTGCAGCCCTCAGGTCTGGCCAGACCTCTCTCACCAGTGTACCAGCCCCATGGCTGACCTTTGCTGTGCAGGTTGACACGGGCCCGTACAACGTCAGGGTCATCTGGTCCAACCCCCAGGATCCTCAAGGCTACATAATTGAGGGCTGTGCCAAACACCGTTGATTTGTCTTCCACATGTCTGTCAGGAGCATATACAGAAACACCACATCCATTAGTCAGCTATTGTCATTAGCTAGACACAAGGCTGTCTTGTTAGGGTGAAGTGGAATGCTGGGGTGACTTTGGAACCTGACTAATACAGGAGGAAACATTGCTCTGCATACTACTATCATGTAACACATGATGCTTTGGGATATAGTACCACAGAGGAGATGTGGCCAGACTTGGTGCTACAGCCACTGCTGTGACAAAGAGTGTACCTGGAGTGCTGCACAAGCAAGTCCAACCACCCACAACTATCACAGGTGCTGAGTCTCCCTCCCCGAACCTGGGCAGATCTGACAGCAGCTCCAGGTCCTGGACCTTGGAGCTGCCATCACTCAAAGACGCATCTTTGCTACTCACAAGCCCCAGCCTCCATCTGGGAGCTGCACAGAGCGCAGGTAGCGTATCATCTCCTTCCGGAACCCCTCGGGCAGCTGGATTTTGGCCGTGTGGCAGGTGATGAGGAGACCTGGAGGACCAGACAGGCCGGCACTGTAGAGCCAGAGAGCAGAACCCCAGGGCACTCACCCCTGGGCAGGTGCCCAAGCTTACCTGGCAGCAGGAACAGTGGCCCGCCGTAGTCGCCCGCCCAGTGCCCATCCTCGGCCTGCAGCGCTGCGTAGAACCGCATCCCATTGCGGGCAGCCTCCCGGGCCGAGCCGGCCACCGGCAGCGTCCGCAGCGCCTCGCCCTGCGGGGAGACAGCGGCACCTCAGCGGAGCGCCCCGGGCACGGCCCCGCCACCGCGGGCACGGCCCCGCCAACCCGGCCCGGATCCCCGCACCGTGTCCAGCCCGAGGCTGTGCTGCTCCAGCGCTGTCTGCGCTCGCCGCTCGCCGGCGTCGCCATCGCCCAGGTAGTGCCAGACCTGCCGCCCACCCTCGCAGCGCAGCCGCCAGGCCGGCAGCTCCGTGGCCGCCGCCGTGCGCCAAGGGCCGCCACGCCGCCGAATCGCCCTGCCGGACACGGGCACCGTGAGCCGCGACCACCACGCCGCTGCGCCCCGCCGGGACCCACAGCCAGAATCCACCCACTGCCCCCCGCCATCGCCGCTCCCGCTCCCACAGCCGGGACCCATCCCCTGCCCTTGCCCCCGCCATCGCCCCGAGCCCACCGCCGGCACCCACAAGGCTCCCGCCGCCATCGCCGCTCCCGCTGGTAGCGCCGCGGCCGCGCCGGCTGGGCCCATATCGCCTCACGGGCGGCAGCCAATGGGGCCACGGGCCGGCACCAAGGCCGGCCCCCGTCCCGCCCCGTTCGGCCCCCCGCGCTATCCCCGTCCCGCCCCGTCCCGTCCCGTTCGGCCCCCGCGCTATCCCCGTCCCGCCCCGTCCCGCCCCGTCCCGCCCCGTTCGGCCCCCCGCGCTATCCCCGTCCCGCCCCGTCCCGTCCCGTTCGGCCCCCGCGCTATCCCCGTCCCGCCCCGTCCCGCCCCCTCACTGTCCCCGTCCCCTCCCGTCGTGGGACGTCGGCTGTTGCCGGGGCTCAGCTCCTTCGTCCCACATGTCTGTCTCCGAGCTCGCTTCCCCAGGAGTGCCATCCCTCCCCACAGACCCCGACAGCCTTCCCGTCCCTTTGGTGACAGCTATAGCCCCTAGAACGACTGTCCGCACCTCCGTGCACCCCCAAAGTCCGAGAGAGTGGTTTCCATCACTAATAAAAATAACAAATCAACGCTTGGGTGCCCAACTCACGTCCTCGTGGGCCACGAGGGACTGGGGACAAGTGTCTGGGTGCAGTGCCAACCATGGGGACAGTGCACTCTGACCCTCGTGTGCCCGCACTCCCACCCTTGATCAGGGTCCTCAGATCTGCTTTCCCGGGGTGTCGGGCACTCGTTCAACACCGGGGCCCTGAGGAGGGGTGCGGCCGGCGGGGGTGGCGCCCATAAAACACTGTGTTGTGCTCTGCAGGTGAGTCAGCTATCCCCAGCACGGCTGCGAGGGTGTCACCTTCATGCAGGTAGTGCCGTGGGACAGCAGTCCATGAGGAGATGGCAGAGCTCCTCATGTCCTGTCCCAGTGCTGTGTCCCCCTCGCCCTCCTAACACCCCCAGTGTAGCATCACTGCCGTCCCACGGCCGGTGAGCAAGCGGGTTTGTTTCAGCCCTTCAAAGCCCCCTGGCTCAAGAATGCTTCCCAAAAGGAGGCATGCAGGGATTGTAAATCCCAGAGATGCTGTACTTGCTGCTGCTATGCTGTTGGAAGGGCTGGGTGGAAATTTAATATATATTTGTTTAAATGGAGTGCTAAACTGCTTTTCATCAAGTGAGCACTACCCTGGGATGGCAAAATGGCTTTTTGTGGTAGGTGGAGTACAAGATGCTGTCCCTTGTATGCCTGGCTCTGTGTCCCCTTGCACAGCTTGGGGGAGGCTGGTGACAATAGCAAGATGGTTCCTGTCCAAAGATGTCATTTTGTGCATAAAATCATTATAAAATTTGGAATGACGTAAAACTGGTACTATCTGAGAGCATCTTTGCTGTGAATCTGTCACTATTGGCGCTGCAGGTCAGGAAGGCCCAGCTCACAGCTATTGCTGAGCTGGTCTGCAGGTGCAGACTGAAAAGGCAGAAGCACAGGCTTTGGGGAGGTTGTCCTGGGTTTAGTTGAGGCTTTGCAAGGGCTCACCACTGCAAGGCCCTGAATGAGCCTGGTAGCAGCAGCCACACCCTGCAGAGGGCCCTTGTGCTCCTTTGTCTTGGCAGGTACACCTGGCAATGTGGGCAGCCAGGTGCTGGTGACAATCATGGGCTGTCTGGCCAGTCACAATGACACCAGAGAAGAGATGAGGGGTTGATGCCCAACAAGAAACCCAGGGGCATGATCTGTAGCAGTGCTTCAGGCCAGATCCCCCAGCCTTTCTCTCTCAGTGCAGAGCAGCCTGGCACAAAAGGACACATTTTTCACCAGAGGCCAAACCAACATTTTATTCCTGTCATTTCCACACACTCAGGAGGCTGTGCCTGGTCTGTGGTCACACTGGGCCAATCCCACTTCCCTTCTGACTGAGCCTGGACACCTTGTCAAGGCACATCCCAGCTGACCCCAGTGCAGGAGCCTCATATGCTGTTGCTTCCAGTTCTGCAGGCTGCTAAAAGCAGGATTGATCAAAAAGTGAAAAGCCTGAGCACTCCCGTGGTTATGCTTTTAGATTGTTACACTTTGCCTTACAAGCCAGGGGTGTTACAATGTACCAAGAAATGGGTGGGCTCTGCTGAGCACCTGTGAGGGGACAAGAGCTGGTTTCTGATGCCATGCATAGAACCCACAGGAATCACTGGAAGCCTTCCCGTTCAGGCCAGTGGGCTCAGCAGCAAATTTCCATTATCACCCCCTCTGCATCACCTCTCCCTTCAAGCCTTGAATTTCTTTTTTTCCTTTGCATGCAAGCTTGGATCACAGCATCCCTCTGCTTCTAGCCCCATGCACATTCCTGACTTTAAACAGCAGGGAAGGTGCTTGAGGCAAGGCACTCGCTCACTGCATCCAGCCCAATGGGCACTTGAGCCTTTCCTGAGCCACACAAGTGTTTAGTGCTCACAAAGCCACAGCACTTTTAATAAGCTGCTTAAGTCTAGCACAAGCTGAGCTCTAAGGTGTCTGTAATCACACCCAGTCCTTTTCCTGGAGGAGCAATGCTGCCTTTCCTCTCTCCAGCGTGAGCAGAAGGGGCTCACCTACTTCCCACCAGTTCACTCATGCTCAAAGAACTCGTGGCAAGCAGCAGTGACCATTGCAATGAAGGCCACAAACTCCTGGAAGTCGCACTCTGCATCCCCATCGCAGTCCAGTGCCTCCATGACTTTGTCCACAGTCTCCTGGTCTTTGATTTCCTGAAGGGATAGAAACGAGCAGCCAAAGCTGGAGAGGACCGCAGTGATACCCAGACAGTAACATGTCCCCGTTTCTCAAGTGGTCTCATGGCTGAATCTCTGTTCAGACACACCCCAAACACCTTGTGGCTGTTCCCAGTCTATGGTGGGGCACAGTCTATGCCCTGTGCCCCTGGGAATTGCAACCACAGCTGTGCTGTTGGGAAGGGACATCTTGAGTCCCCTGGGGCAAGGCTGTCCCCTCCACCCCGTGTCAAGGAAGGTGATTTCCCTAGTATCCAACCCACCCCCCAGTCTGCCATACAGGCTGTTCCCCTTATCCTGCTGCTCCGTAGAGCTGGAGCAAAGGATTTAATGGCCTGCTGTGTAAATAAACCTCTTTGGCTTCCCGTGGGAGGCAGAGCTAGGGGAGTGCAGTGGCTGTGTGGTGACCCCTGAGCCCAGCCAGGCTGAGGAGGGCAGTACTTACACCGAGGAAGTGAGGCAGCTCGTTGTTGATGAGCTCCTTGAGTTCCGATTTCTTCAGCTTGTGCTTGTCTCCCTCCTTCCCGGAGTACTGGTGGAAGGCATCGATGATGGCAATCATCGCCTTCTCCAGCTCAGACATGGTCGTGGCGTGGCCCTGAGAACAGAGGGGACGGTGAGAACGCCAGCCTGGGAAATCTCCAGCGATTCCCATGGATTAATTTGGAAGCACGGCCACCCCGGGTCTCCGCCCATGGATCGGCAAGGTCGGAGCCGCGTTCAAGGCAATCTGCTGGGAAGATCTGGCAGCAGCTCTGGCTTCAGGGGGAAGGCCAGGGGAGACCGTAACTCTGCTGCCAGCGGCTCTCGAAGACAGCAGAGCCGTAAGAAGAGGAGAGGGACAGGCAGGGGGCAGCTCCGGAGCTTAAGAAAGGTTTTGCAGTCCCTGCTGTCACAGGTCCCCTCGCCTGTGCCTTTGACTGCAGACCTGTCTCCAGCCCAGCAGTCAGGGGAACCGGGTACGAACCAGTTCTGATGAGTGCCAGCAGGTCAAAATGAACAGCTCTCGAACCTCCCTCTCCAGCACTTGATCTGGAGACCCTCTTGGGAACGATAATAATTCGTATTGCAGCGCTCCTTGCAGACTTCACAAACCAAAGAGAATCCGATCAAAGAGGGAGAGCTGCCAACCCACCTCCCCAAAAGCTGGGAAAATAAAAAAAGTCTTATTGCCTGGCACTCGGTTCGTTCATATACCTTAGGTAAATGTCTCCTGGCTCCTGTTTCTTCACCACAAGGTACTGAATTTGACCCCACAGCTGATGCCCTCCCCCGCTCAGCAGTCAGTGTCCGAACGGAAAAGACTGTTACCAGACAAGGTAGAAAATACCCTAACAAAAACACCTTCTTCACACTCCAGCCCTGCCTGTTTCCCGTCCGCAAGGCTGAGGAGCGCTCCAGCTCTCCTGGGGCTCCGCAGAGGCGATGTGAGCGGTGACACTGCCCTGACAATGTCACCCCCCGCCCCCCGGCATCCCCCGGCCTCTCTCTCTCACCTCCTGGCTGGTGGCACAGCGATGTGGCGTGGCCGGACACCCCGGCACCCTCTGGCTCCGTGTGCCCGCGGGGGAGCCGGGGAGGCGGCGGCCGGGGCGGGGTGTCCGAGCCGGGCGCTGTGCCCGCCCCGCAGAGATGCTCGCTGGGACTGGAGCCGCTGGAAAGCTGCCCTTGTGAGAGAAAACACCGCCTGCTTTACTCGTTTGTTCTCAAAATGCTAAGGAGACATAGCTGCAATCAGCCAGTTCTTATAGGTGACACGTACGTAGTGATATATCCCGTTTCAAAATGTATTGCAGTAAACTTTTTTTTTTTTTTTTTTTTTTTTTTTTTGTAAACAAGCACTTGGAGGTTATTCCCAAGACCCAGTTACACATTACAAATAAATCTATTATTATGCCATTTATTTGTTCATCTTTTTCAAAGATAGAATGCCTACTCACTGTTCATAAAATGGGTCTTCCAATGCACAGAATGTTCTCTGAATCGAGCTTGCAATTCAAATATGTCAATGCTTCCTTTAAAACCACTACTCTGCTCTGAACAGTCAGTGTGCAAAAATAGCAACTCCTTGTACCCCTGATCTTTTCCCTATGTTTACAGCAAGTCATTGGGAGCACACTATTGACATTAAACACACTTTTTCTGCTTTCTACTGTTTTAAGATTGTAGAGTCAGGCCAGACAGGGAAAATAAGGTTATTTCAATTCACTCAGCTTCACCAAACATACCACCAACAAAATGCTTTGCCAAACTGAAACCATTGCTGCTTGTGCATTGCAGCTGCATTTATATCACAGGACTGAAAGCATCAAGGAAAATACTTTTTGCAGTCGGTGTGAGCATAAGCCTCATACTTTTCTGTGTGCATTGTTCAAGAAATGTTGAAATGTTCAAGAAATATCCACCTAACACCAGAGACAAGTGAAACTGCGAATATTTTGAAGCAATTCTGAGAAGGAAAGTGTAAACCAACATGCAAAACTCAGAAAAAGATGAGTTACTGTTTGTATACAGAGTCACACTAGAAAAAAATCTTTTCTTTTTAGAAACTGAAAAGTTATCTCAAACTTAAATTCTTTATTTACTTTTAAATAGAGTCTTGATACCAAACTTGTTCACAAGTCCCTTGCCAGCCCCAACAGTGACCAAGAACTGGCATTAAATGCACTTATATCTAAACTCTGTTGCTGGATAGACATATTCCCTGGCAGTTCCTGTGTTTCCAAATCTACTGATACAACATTGACCATGTTACTTAAAAAACCTTTTCACACACTGGTGTAAAAGAAATTAATCGACGTCGATCATTTCCTTACATTAGCTCACAAAAGCTTTTGTAACAGGCTCAAACTCTGGTTTGGGGAAAAATAATTTCCCCAGCATTCAGGTTGAGTATGTCAACTTTAAATATTTACCTGACCACTGAAATTCTTGCATTTAGGGCATTGCAAACTGTACCAGTTATCTGTGCTCTGGTGGGACTAGCAGGGACAGCAAGATGCTTTTAGGCAGTGGTGCTTCTGGTGTAGAGGTAGTTTGTCAGCAATTTTGCACTATTTGACTTTTTCCAAGAGTACTTGCATTCCTGTAAGAGCTGGCTATAAATGGGGCTCTCTGTCAGCAGCAAAGAGACAGCATTTTTTTTGTTGATAGCAATATGATCTGGTAGATCTCTAGCTCAGTCCTCAGCCAAGAAATGCATTAAAGCAAACCTTTTTTAGTCAGGGACAAGGTCCTATCTCATCTCCTTTAATAATTTTCTGATGTCATCCCGGAAAGTGACTTTTACTTAAAATGGAACAGAAAAAGTAACATCTGACAGATCAAAACTTGAACAATCTTGAAATTCTCCTTCCTGGTCATTTTTGCTGTCCATTTCACCCCAAATCATTCTGACTTCTGTATTTTGCAAGTGATGATCTGCAACGATATGCTGATAGGATGGCAAGGAGCAGCAGGATCAGACGTGAACACCAGAAACTTGGACCCTCTTCTGCCTCTGCTAATGAGCAGCTCCAAGCAACTTTCCTGATCCTTGACCAGGCTCATATCCTTTGCAAAGACTGCTCTCCTGGCCTGGGTCATCCCTAACCCCAGGAGGTCTGGATATGGGTGTGGGGCTGTGAGATGGCTGTGCTTTCAGCACTGCCCAAAGAGCTGCTTCTGTTATTTTAAAATTCACATTTTGATCTTCAAACAGGAGGGTGCAACCTTGGGGTTTCTTTCCTCAGGGTCAGAGTTTCCTTGGCAGAGCTTTGGGCTGATATGTTTGAAGAAGCAAAGGGGTTTTACAGTGTCCAAGGCTGAGCAAAACACTTCAGCCCTCTGCCTGTCTCCCTCACAATGTGGGCTCTCATACCAGGCTCCGGGAGAAAAGCCAGCCTGTTTCTTTGTCTCTCTGCTGTGTATGGCCCCAGGCTCTGCCAGGCCATGAGACAAAAGTCAGCAGTCATTGAACTGAGACAAAAAAAAGGAATGAAAGCAGAGGAATTTGGGTGGGAGGGCAAAGAAGCTGCCTGTGCCTCTGCAGGGCTACACTCACAGTCCCAGCACACTCAGCAGCTTTGCAGGGTGCAGGTTCCCTGGCACCTACTGACACAGCAGGCAGAGGTGAGCTAGATCCTGCCTTGAATCCAGCTGAGGTTCAGACACAGGAAAACATGGATGAAAACAATGCCTAAGTAACAGGAATTTGTCAATCATTAAAAATTTCTGGCACAGGTGGATTGTATAGAGACAGAAAAATAAAACCAAGTTGTTCATCCTCCATCACTCCCCTTAGGCACATATTACCATAAATTATCTTAAGATTTTGGCATCCACGGACAAGTGGATACTTGCACGAACCTCATTTCATGCAGGCTCATTATGACAATTTTTTATTTAAACAAAAAATAAACAGACTATTGAACCTCAAATACAACACTCACGTCAGTGAACTTCGAGAGCTTCCTCTGTTCATATAAACTGTGCAAGAGAAGCAGCACAGCTCTCCCTACTGAGGACCAGTGGGATGAGACATAAATCAAAGATATTATCCCCATCCATTCTCCCTCCAGGAGAAGTACAGCACCATCTAAAAACATTTTGCTCTTACTGAACATAGCCAGAACTGAACTGTGAGTGACCTAAGCCTAGTTTATGAAATAAATTCCAAATTAATCCTTTAATTCTTAAATAAAATTACTGTATCCTCTCCAAATAATCCCTGACGTTATTTTGGACATGAGTGAAGAGCTATTTGTTAGGAGTATTTTAAATTATACTTGTAAGTGTGCATTATATACTCTAAGTATTAATGATTATATAAATATTAATAAGGCATTTTTTCTGTCCTGGGGTGCTGATGGGTGCCACATTTGTGAGCAGCTGTTTGGTCCCTGGGCAGTGCACAGACATGAAGGGGCTTTTCTGCCAGTTTAGCTTGCTCTGGTGTCACCTCTGTGGCAGGAGGGACGCCAGGCCATTCAGAAAGTTTCAACAGCATTTCCTCAGTGCACTGAGGCCCAGTGAGCCAGTGACAGCAGTATCAGTTCAGGAGACAGGGCTTAGAATTGCCTGGTTAGTACAATTTATACTCCCACAAATCATGTAAAAATCCACCAACCAACCAACTAACCTAAAAATGGTCCTTACACCTTTACTATGAGCTGAGATTTCAAGGTCACACTCATTCAATTTAAGATGAATTGCAGAGTTTTGAATCCTGTCCTCCTTAGCTTCAAGAAAGATAAGTTGTTTTGGCATTGAAATCCAGTGTGCTTTAAACATGTCACACACAGCACTGTCTGGATGTGAGGCACAATGCTTGGCTGGAATGAAAAGTGAGAAAAACAGCAAAGGCTCCAAGATGCCCTGGTCTGTCCCCAGCAGCACCAATACTTACCAGCTGATGGGGCTGGAGCTGGGTGATCTCCAGGAGGCCATTCCCTACCTGGTGTGTTTTGGCACCAGCAGGCAGTCAGGAGGGCAATGCTGCCACGCTCACCATCCGCCTCAGCAAGTCCACATCAGGGTTTGGTGCCACGAGTGCTGGTACTGCATGTTCCCACTCTGGCACGCATCTGTCCTCTATCCCCTGCAACCCCTTGGGGTGGCAGCTTGGCTGTGGGGTGCCTTTGGGCTCCCCAGGGTGACACTGCGGTGCTATGGGGTGGTGCAGAGTATCCAGAGGTGGGCAGCATTTCGGAACTGCGGGTGATAGAGGCCGGTCCCAGTCAGCTGCGGGTCACCTGGCCAGGGCTACCAGGTGACAGGGG